TCTAAGCTACTAAATTGGCTACAAGGGCTACCACCACTGCCCTTGCCACAATTGTTGAAATATCAAGGGTTATAGTAATGGTCTGTGGTGCTAGAGCCTGGGGCTTAATGCCCTAAATGATAGGCTCTCTCGAGAAACTGGCATGCATATGAGAGGGACCTGACTCTCTAGGGATAGACGATGTGCTACTAGTGGTGATCTTAGGAGGTGTGGCAGGTCTTAGCTCCCTATAAGGTCTACCTGTACCTCAACCTTGACATCGACCCTATGTAATGCCTACCATATCCTACAGTAATCATAACACATAGAACTTAGGGTACAATTATATAACCATATATTTTGTATAAAAATAGTCCTTGAGGTATCGGAGTACTCTCACCTGTTAACCTATAACTAAGGCTTTGATACCACTTTAACTGTCATGCCCACCCTTGTTTGATGAGTGAGGCATGACAGTTGAGACAAAGGCCAACACCCTCCCGGGATAAAAATTCGATAGCATGCCAGCCCCAAAAACCCTATCATATAAGGCTCATATTGTCCTTGTGTCTGAGTACCAGTGATTCTCATAGAATATATCACAATAGAAAGCTATAATTTCTTTTCTGTACAACCATATAAGACTTAGTAGTCCTGCTACAGGTATATCCATTCCCGTGCTAACAAACAACATATGCAATTAATTAATCTACACACACAATCCATCTAACAAAATAATTTACAACTATTTGTCCTCCAAAATTTAAAATACAATGTTATTATTCATAACAAAAAATTAAAGTAGTACAACAATCTTAAATTTTCATGAGCTCAACCGCACTTCTGCTAAAGTATCGTTGTGTATAGGATGATGCAATACAGCACTCCCTAAGTCTAGCAATCAGAACCTGAAATAGGGAAAAAGGTGAGACAACTTCCCAGTGAAGAGCATACTAACTAAACTCAATGGAAATAGAAAAGGTTTTCCACTAGTAACATAATTGAGCATATTCCATACAACATCTCAAATAGTAGAAATACTAAAATCACAATATACAAAGAATAAGTAGATTTCTGCAGTTTTACAATTTGAAGAATCCATGTAAATCAAGAAACAAAACCTCTGAAACACATTGTAACAGAAACCTCTAAAACAAAAGCACCAGCTGAGTAAAATACATGAATAACTCTGGCTTGATATACACACAACAGGGTAATGTCTAAGGGGGGCATCATACATGAAAGCATAAAATTTGGGACACAGCTTGGGCCTTCTCAAGGTAGACTATGTTAAAACTTATCGGGCGCTACTTGTCATGTAGTTAACACCATGATTCACCACTCTAGGGTTAACTAATACAGCTTTTGGCATCTAAGCCTCCACTAGGGCATAAATCATAGAATATTTGAGCATGTAGAACTGTCACCTGCCCTAGACAACTACTCGATATTTCATATTCAAAACATGTAAAATATCATAGAAAACATCATGAAAAAACATCTACATAAGAAAGCAAAAAATAACTATCTATTTCCAAATTTTTCACATGTGTAACATACATGTTGGAAATAGTTTCTGTTGGTTTATGGAAAATACAATTTTATAAAATAATTAAGTTTAAAGAGAGTGCCACTTACCATAGGTGTAAACTATAATGGCTCAACTAGGCCTAGCTGATCTAGGTTGTGCTCCAATCTATTATCTACTCCTATATATGAAGAATATGTTCATATTAACATTTATGCCATGTGTGTATAATGCAAATGCATAGGCATTCTAAATTTTCTAAATAGTTTAGCCATTAGCCTTTCTTTCTCAAATCTTGCAAGAGTGCCCTAATTTAACCCTCCTCTTAAACCTCCCTTTATCCCCTTCTCTTTAGTCTTAACATTCCCTTTATTCCCCTTCTCTTGTAGTCTTATTCGTGGTCACATTTCCTCTCCATTAGAGGTCACTTAGAAGCTAAAAAATCAATTATTTTTAACTATCATGTTGCAGAAAATATTTCCAGCACTCACTTTGAGACATAGTTTTGAGGTTTAAGTCATTTGCAATCTTAATGTTTCCCTTAACTTTGTGCCTACTTTTAAGCTATATTTAGGCCTCAATTTAGCATCATTTTGTGCCTCATTAAAAGGGTATAATTTTTGCAAAACAAATTTCTCAAAGCAGAATTTTTTTGCTAGAAATTGCTGCATCCACTCTACCTCACTTCTAACTAGGCTTTGCCTGGTTTTAAGCTGAACTTATCTTCCTTCCCTAACTGTTCTTGCTTGGCCAACCTAACTATCCCTTCTCCTTCTCATTAACCTTAATTTAGAGGCTCCTCAAATCCCTTAGAGTTTTGGCCGAGGGGAGCGTCGCTGCAGAAATATTTTGCTCACTCAATACCTCCCTCCCTAACATTACTTTCTTTCTTGTTTTATGTTTATTTCTCAAGCTTTATGCCTATCCATGGCTTCTTCTCCTACAGGCCAAACCACACCCCTCTATTTTTCCCCCTGTTTCAGCCTCCTGACCATAGTAAGATTCCACAACCAGCATAGGAGCACATAGTTTCACAAGCAAACTAAGTTTTCAAGCTAGTTTTTCTAAGTCTTCTAAGTTGCAAACTCCTCCCTCTTCTCTCCAAGGTTTGGCCCTCTCACTCTAGCATTCTTATCATCATCAAATCTTGGTTTCAAGTAGATAAAATGATAAAAGAGTACAGAGCTAGAGCAAGACATGCAAAATTGTTAAACAAATTCATCAAAATTCCTAGAAAAATCCAAGATTTTTACCTTGTTTCACCACTTTCCTTCTTCTCCTCTTTTTCTTCTATTTCCTTCTTTCTTTTCCCTACTGTTTCACGCAGCAACCAGAATCTTCAACGGGTTTTATACCCCTGTCAAGTTGGCAAAGAAGTGGGTGCCACAAGGGCCCCCTGTGAAAGGTCCAAATTGCCTTCATCTTAATTTTTGGCTTCTCACCTTGCCCTTTAAGCTTCTATTCCATTTTTATCCCTAAGCAATTCATCTAATACCTTCATTGTCCCTCTGCACTTAAGGCTTAGGCTAGATAAAATTACAAATTAATTTTTCAGATTTTATTTAATTATGTTTTATAATTATTTTTATTTCTATTATTTCTATAATTTAAATTCTCTCTAAATCACCACTTCCCTTGGAAGTTTATTAGTTTATTTCACTATCACTTCAAACTCATGGTTTAATGTCTCTAAATACTTCTTGAATCTCTTCTAGGGTTGTAGACAAGCAAAATAAAATTATCTCCCTTAATTTAATTTATTCCTAATGTGCAAAGGATAAATATAATGCATACAAATTTTACACAAATGCGTATGCTAAGTTTATGCATGCGATAGTAGGTTTGAAATGTCACATGAGGAGAGAGAGTTGTGCGCAAAAATGGAGTAAGAGGTGCTTTTAAAAGCACATTTCTGATGGCTAGATCATTGGCTAATCGTCAGAAATCGGGACACAAGTCAAGTTGTCAAAAACCAACTCACAAATCCCAATATCCCACAAAAAACCTCATTTCTGATACATATATTTGGGTCATCGATGGACCAAAAAAATTAAAAATCCGATTTTCCAATGGTTTTTCCGTCGGTAAAAAAATTTTAAAAATTCGATTTTCCAATGGTCAAGCCATCAGAAGCCGATTCACAAATACCAATATACCCCCAAATGTTATATTTTTGACAGATGTTATGTTTATTGATGGACTTTGTCCGTGGATAATCAAAAAATTTAAAAAATTTGATTTTTCGATAACTTTTCCAATGGTAACAAAAAAATTTAAAAATTCAAATTTTCAATGGCTTTTGCGATGGTCAAGCCATCAGAAACTAGCTCATGTGTTGAACCAGCCAGTTTGACGTTAAACCAACCTACCAATTTTTATAAGTTACTTTTATTCATAAGTTATTATCAAATTATTATTACTAATTTGAAATTCCTATAATTAATTTAAAAAATTATATGTTATTATAATGACTTACAATAATAATTTTTTTATTATAATTTTATTATGTAGTAACTTATAATGTTATAAATTAATTATAATAATTAAAAATTAATAATAGAAATTCTATAATAACTAATTGAAAATTTATAAGTAATACAATAACTTATAATTTATAATAATTATATATTAATTGCAATAATTCAAAAATAACAAATGAATAGGAGATAACTTATAACTTTATCATATAACAACTTATAATTCTACCCATTCATTATAATTATATTAATTAAAGAATAAATTATAATTATATATTTATCATATAATTACATTCATTATAGAAATTATAATTTAATAATAATAAATACAATAACTAATAAATAGTTATAACTTTTGAATTTATCATAGAATAACATATAATATTCTAGAAATTAGTTATAATAATTAGAAATTAGAAATCATAATACTATAATAGCTAATGGGTATTATAACTTCTAACCAAAGTTATAAGTTATAATTTCTTCATTATTTATTACAATATTATTATTATTACTATAGAATTTCTAATTAGTATCATGAATTTTTAGAATTATAAGTTATTGTGTAAGTTATAATTTTTCAAATAGTTATTATAGAATTATTATTAATATCTAATTTTATATCTAATTTACAACATTATTATTATATAATAAAATTGTACATTATGATTTATTTTGTACAGTAAATTATGATTTTCCATTTGTACAAATTATTATTGTTTTAAATCAAAAATCAAAATAATAAAAAAGTGGAATCAGAGTGATTATGGATTTCTTTGGATTTGAATGACACTAGCACTGCAGTTGACGAAGATTTCGAAATCAAGACGTATATCAGGAGACCACGAGTTTTATAACCCAATTAAAAGAAGGGTTTTACTGTGAAATAAATTTTTATTTGGCCAAAGGACACAAATTTTTATTATTCTCCTAAATTCCTGGCAGCCAAACACATGCATGCTCACAAAATCATATTCGGAATGTATTAAACTATGTCTTTCCATATTTGTTATTCTTTACTCGCTACAAATCGTGGTATATTTTGAGATTGCAAAATTGACAGAAGGCTGGTATTTAGGCTGTTTGTCTGAAGAGAAAAGGCCAAAATGTTTCTCGGTCTCAGCCCATGAATTCTGGTTCTCATCAAACATGGCAAAGAGGTAAGTTTCAATAGCCTTCGCAGGCCTCTTTTGGGTCCCTGTCACTCCCTTAACATGTTTTATCAAATTGCTGCAGTAAGTTTGTGCATTAGCCACGGCTGCATCTGTACCTCCGTATGAAGGCCATCCACTCGCTGACACAACAATTTCCACGTTAGATCCACCCTCACTCTGAACAGCAGAGTAGAAAGCATCCAACATGAATCAAACATATTTTTGCACGCGCCCTTGGGTTGGCCTGCGAACAAGGCGCAGTCAAGAGGGACGCTATTTGGGTCACCGGTGCGAGCGAGGTACGGGTAGATATTGGCTAGCAAAGGAGCATTGTTTTGGACAAGAAAGCTGATAATTGGCTTTATGAGGGATTTGACATTATCCGAAAAAGCACCATTCGCAGGAGGGTACGAGGCGCCCATAAGTCCCATGTATGCTGCAGTTGAAACCTTAAAAAGCTAGTTGGGCTCAGTGGATCACAGGAGCGCCTTGCTTCCTATTATCATGAAATAGTTGAGTTTTGTGGTTCGTGCTTGTGATCTTGGCGCTATTACAATAAGCTAAAATGGGTGTGTCCCATGGCAATAAAATACATGGAGCTGTTAACATGTTAAATTTTAATTTAAATCTAATCTAAATTTAATTCGAATTTTAGTATTCAAATCTGATTAAAATATTTGATAAATCTGATCTAATTACAAATATTTATAATACAAAATAATTAGATTAGAAATGGACTTAAGCTATCTGATTTATTAAAAATTCAAATCCGAATTTTAATAATATTTTTTATTTAATTTATATTATTTTATATATAATATTAATTTATAATATTAACAAATTCAAAGTTATATAGATTAGATTGAGAAAATCAAAAAATTCATGGATAAATATAATTAATAGAATACAGTTGAGAGACTTAAGTGTAGAAAGTATTTTTTTCTTATCAGATCAGATTTTCTTATCGAATTTCGGATTATTTATCGAATTCAAATATAGTTTAATAAATATAAATTCTATAAGATTAAGAATCAAATTCAAATATAAAAACAGTTAATCGGATTCAAATTTAGCCAATTTGGTCCAAATCTAACATATTTACCAGCCTAAAAACGTGGCACATAATCGGTATTAATTAGATAAATCCACTACCTATTGAGCATTGGTAAGATAAAGGGTCGTACCATGGTGCACGTGAATTAAAAACATGAATTCTCATAGTATGCACAAAAATAAAATGCAGTAAGTTCCAATCTTGAAGCTTCAAAGTGCGGTAAAAATTGAAAAAGAAATTAAAACTAAGCTGTCAGGTCTGTTGTATTCAAAGTTGTTGGCTAGGTTAGAGCTGAGAAGATTGAGGGGTTGATTGGATTTGTGTGAGTAGTCCACTTGCAAAAGTCTTCATTTTCTTTACTCATAGACCTTTGAGGCCGTTATAAGTTTAATATTTATTTGAATGATGCTAGCACTGTGGCTGACTAGGATTTCAAAGTCAAAACATGTATCCCCGGGAATTAGTATTTTGTTTTCTTTTTTCCTTCTTGTTTTGGGCCTCGGCCCGTCATGTAACCCGAAAACAAAAAAAATGTCAAAGGCATGTATCCGTAGGACGGATAAATTTCTATACCAAAATAAAAAGATGATTTGGTGTGAAATAACTTTTTATTCGGCCTCAGCGGACAAACGTATTATCGTCCATTTAATGGACAATTAAAGTATAATATTAGATAGCAGATTTTTTCAATTGAGCTTCCTCAATTGAAAGTAAGCTGGTATTTAGGCTGTTTGTCTGGAGTAAAAAGGCCAAAATGTTTCTCGGTCTCAACCCAGGCTTCTCGTCCTCATCAAACATGGCAAAGAGGTAAGTTTCAATAGCCTTCCCAGGCCTCTTTGGGGTCCCTGTCGTTCCCTTAACATGGTTTATCAAATTACTGTAGTAAGTTTGTGCATTAGCCACGCTTGCGTCTGCACCTCCGGCTGAAGGCCATCCACTTTCCGACACAACAATTTCCACATTAGATCCACCCTCACTCTCAACAGCAGAGTAGAAAGCATCCAACATGGCATCAAACAGATTTGTGTACGCACCATTGGGTTGGCCTGTGAACAAGGCATAGTCAAGAGGGACGCTGCTCTGGTCACCAATGCGGGCGAAGTAGGGGTAGATATTGGCTAGCAACGGAGCATTGTTTTGGACAAGGAAGCTGATGATTGGCTGTATGAAGGACTTGACGTTATCCTTAAAAGCACCATTCGCAGGAGGGTACGAGACGCCTATAAGTCCCATGTATGCTGCTGTTGAAACCTTAATTTGGCCTTGCAAGTTGGCGGCTTCAAGCGCTTTGTAAACGTTTTGCATGGCTGGGAGAACATAATTAACATATTGGGCAGCATCGGTGTTGGGGTCGACCTCGTTTCCCACTGAAATGTAGCGAAATTTGACGTCCGAGGAATAGGCTACCACGTTGTTTTGGACCCATTGCACTGCCGCCGAGTAGTCTGCCGACAGGGACTGAAGGTTAGCATTCGGAACGTCAAGTACAAGCTCTATGTTGGATCCTTTAAGGGCGTTCAAAGCTGCCCCATCCGGTGCGTACATTCTCATCCTTCCGATGCCATTGGATTTGTAGAGTTGGACAACGTCTTGTGCCGATGGCAAATTGTTGCCGTTCTGTCCGTAGCACACGCCTATGGATTGCGCATCTGCAGTTCATTCAACCAAATATGCAAAAACTTCATTTTTGGAATTTTTTTTTTTATTTTGACAAAAACCAAAGCTTTTAGTTGACAAATTAATTAAACACAAGTATCCTTTCCATTGATCCGGAGCCAAATAAGCTCCACACGTTCTTAATCTTTCACTTCTGTTTTCTTTCTAACAATAAAGTGTATAGTTGTCTTGAGCTGCCAACTTGTGGAGTACACAAGAACTCAATTACACTCGAGTTTGACTTGTTTAATTTTGAAGAAGCTCAACCACACATTTTTGTGAGCCACCTTCAAACCCAAGTTGACTTATTTGTCTAAAAAAATACCTCTAATTTAAGCTTGACATTTTTGAAAAATTCTATCTTAAATATTTTAAGGAAAATAAAATATTAAACCACAAAATGGTAAGAATAACTATAAGTTGATTCCAACACCATGGGACACATCTTAGTGTGCAAAGTATTTCACTATTACGAGATAATTGTTTTTAATTCAAATATGTCGCTCCAAATTATAAAGTAATATATATATATATATAATTGTGATATTTGTATACTTAATAAAACATTAAAATTAAGCAAAACAATAAGGTAATATATAGTTCAAATGTGGAAAAATGTTTTTATAAAATTACAAGCCTAAAATCTTTTGAGTATATGTTGTATGTACATGTGTGTGTGTGTGTGTGTGTGTGTGTGTGTGTGTGAGAGAGAGAGAGAGAGAGAGAGAGAGATTAAGGAACCTGTTAAGTAAATGCAAGGCCACAATAACACGAGTAGCAATGACAGAACCAAAGGGCTGCGAGAAATAGTAATGGAGATGGCCATTTTGGATGAGAAATTAAAGCTAACACTTGAATTTTTATGGTTGATGCAAATGGCTGATACTTGAATGGCTTTTATATAGGGGTAATCACACGAGAAAGTCATCATTCAAAACGTCCCTAACTCGTAGTCTGTCAAATTTTCCGTGAGAATTTTCCAGTGGCTAATTAAAAATTTAGGTCCACATTGATAACTACAAAGCAAAGCCACCACAACTTGCCTACTAGTCGAACTTAACGTTGCTCTTGGATGCATGGTTTGACGAGGAAAATTGAAAATAAATTTAAATAACCCGAGATGAAATATATATATATATATATAAATTAATATTTAATTTTTTAAGCATAGATGTATATAAATTAATATTTTGTGCTTTCTTAAACTTTTAGGGGTTATGTTTAATTTTTAAGATCCAAAATGCAGCTTTCTTTAATTATTTTCAGTATTAAAATATCCAAGTTCAAACCAATATTGCAATAATTTTAGAAAAAGAAGGACTTAATTGTACAAGCTAGCAAGTGTGCTTTAAATGAGCTTTGCGAACGTTTATTTTCATACATTTTAAACCAGGGAATCAATTTTGAAGTTCAAAACCAGAGTGAAATTTGGATGGAAAAAAGAATCAAATATGAATTAAGTGACTAATGATTGTTTAAGGAGTTAATTTCAAGACTCGAAAGGTGAGAGGGTGTGCCAGTAAATGGTGCACATTTGATAAGGTGTGGTCCTTCCTTCTCATTATATTTAAAAATTTTCTTTTTATACGCTTCATATCATGATTCATGCCATAGCAATGTAAATATTCATTTGACAGTCAAATTTTTTCACCTTAATATAACTTTTTGACATATCACGGCCTGGACTCCCCACCCCCTCCGCCTAAGTTACAATATTCTTGTAAAATATATGTATATATATATACACACACACACACACACACATATATATATATATAACTATCTCTTCATTACCTAATTTTTTTTCCTTTGTCTATCACAGTTTTAGCAGAAATAGGCGGAAAAAAATTATTATTAGAAGTTTTATAAACTAATATGGTACAATATCATAATTTTATGTAATAACTAAGTTAAATTGAAATGGTTTACCTAATAATCACTTATTTTATTGCCAAATCAGTCTCGAAAGTATTGACTTATTTTTCAAAATATTGAAATTTGCTTCCGTATTTTGTTTTTGAACTGAAAACATATAGCTAATGCATGTTATAATTTCCTATTTTCAAAAACAAGAAAAATATAACCCAAATGAAACGTGGATTTTTTTTTATAATAATCTGTTTCATTTTCTTTGTAATATTGTTTCCAAAAGCTGCTTTATGTTTTTGAGTGCATAAAAATGAAATGCATAAAAAAACTATCTTTGACAAATCATTCTCGAAAACTATTTGTAACTATTAAAGATCTAGAATTTATTATTAACTATTTGTAACTAGACCTTTGTTTTACGGTTTTTTTACATATTCTTACGTACTTCCATATCACAAATGCACATATTCTTGTTACCACTAGAATTGATCTCTCTCTCTCTCTCTCTCTCTCTCTCTATATATATATATATATATATATCTTTCAAATCCTTGACGGAAAATATGGTGCCTCTTGAAAAGTCTAAATTTTATGTGCTTATTAAGAGAAAAGTAATCCTCAATTTTTG